CATATACTACAACTTTTGTTTAGATCAATAAGGCTAAAAAGTCCTCTATTGTAAATTCAGTATTTATGTCTCCCGGTGTCGTACCGGTTTTGCCGAAAAACTTCGACGGGCCATAACTTCTTCGTTATAACTCGGATTTCGGCGTTCTTTATATGTACGGAACCCTTGAGACATATTCTACAACTTGGTTAAGAATATTTATTCTAAATAATCTTTTGTCGAAAAGTCTTTTTCGACCCCTATTATCTCTAAATTGACTAGCTCGGATCTACGGGCGTTACAATTATCTCCCCCTTAGGATGATTACGTCCCGGAATCATCAACAAAACAGGGATGTATAATGACTCCATACGTTATCTCTTCATCCTAGGTAATAATCGTAACTTCTATGTTCCTTCGAATGAGTATCTAACTCTTGGACTCCTTGTCTGCAGGTGGTGCTCGATCTTGCACTTGCTCCCTATCTCACGTTATACTCCAAATTATGACCTTCAAGTCACAATCTCGATCCTCACTGCACACGAACTTAAGATAAGTTCTTTTATTACTACAATGGACCGATGTGTCATATTCTAATGACCTATCATCGTATGTTGCAACGCTTAGACTCAGGTCTCTTAGAGTCAAATTCCAGAATAGACTATACCTTCCTTATTGTTCTAATGGGATATAATCACATCTTAAAAGGTAGCATTTCTAGCTACAAGCAACTATCGCGATACCTCTACTGATCGCTTTTTATTTCAATCTTCCGTCTTAAGTCAGATGCTACATCGAACTTGATTCTCTGAACCACATAACATACTCAGCGTAGTCGGACTCAATTTGATATGACCACTAGGGTCGGAATAACAATCATCTTCTTAGTCATTACCGAAACAATGGTAACGACATACTTGAATAAAACGAAATGAATTACTAGCTCCTTGGTAACCTTGTGACTTTCCCTGATCCAAGCGTGAGTCCTGTGCTTCTGGTAGTATATGCATCTACTACCTTTCACACCTACTCATACTCGTCCCAAGTATTGTCTCGCAGTCCCCAAGTCCTAAAATCACAAAACAATTTAACACATACGAGTGTGTCCAAATAATCATAAAAAAAAATTTCCCTAGACTCTACTAGGACTTCTTCCATGCACATCTTCAATCTTCAATTCTGCTTCAACTCGGTTGGTATTGGAAATTCAAGACCATGGGATAGCTTTATGGATTATACCAAAAATTCTTTCTTTCTCTTCTCCCGTACTAGACATATTATTTATTAGACGCATTCTAAAGGCAAGATACCTCTCTTACGATATCTTCTGATAGGTATCATTCACTATCGTAAGCCTTATTATTTCCTCTATTTTATCAGTCTATCATGGTTCGCATCACTTCCTGAACTTCTGCCATTGTGATAGGTTCGGGTGCAGGCGCAACGACCGATGCATGACCCGTCACATTCTTCGGCTCAGGTTGTCATCTTCCTCGGATATTTCTTAGTCTATCTTCACCATGACGTTTTGTACACCAAAGCAGACATTTGGTGTACCGAGGCGAGAATTTAAGATAGGAAAGTTTTATTTACGATAGACGTATAAATCTCCCTATTACTCCGAAAAGTTAAATGCCAGTTCTAATATCGTAATTAAACGTTTAGAAATCTGAACACATAAAATTTCCAGATCCGGTCGGCAATAGACCATAGATCCGAACAAATAATAGCATATAAGGCATCTTTATAGCTATAACATAAAACATTTAGCACATCAAACATTTTAGGCATCTTTCCTAAAATAAACTAGTGCTCGTGTCTAAAATATAGCAGACACTCATCTCACAATCATCGCTTAGCATTCTAAGTTTAAGTCTAGAAATTTCCTACAAATTTCTAGTTCGCTTAAACTAATGCTCTGATACCAACTGTGACATCCCCATTTTCACGGCCAGAAAAACCGATTTTGTTTATGCTTTATAAAAATCAGAGTACTTCTTTTAACAAAAATGTTGCGGAATTTGTTCCCAGAAAACATGATAAATAGGTTATCAAAGCATTTCCGAGGAAATGTATTTTTATTCATTTTCAAAACATTGGGATGTCATTGTCAATACAGAAACATAAGCATAAACAGAACTTACATTATTTACACTAGTGATCTACATCTCTTTTAAATCTCTTAGTGTAAAGTAGCTTCGTATCGACACCTGTGATACAAATAAGCTTGAGTGGGTCAGGTTGGGAAACCTGGTGAGTACATAGGGTTTTCAACCCACAATAATATAATTATTATGTTTAAACAACAAACAATCAACCCATTTACCCATCCCCATTATCTTCCTTACTCTCAAGGGTCTACCCTAAGAGTCATCTATTCGTTTATTCCGAAGTCCCTTGCTTCCAGGGTTATAAGGCCGCCACTAAGTCCATAGCTGCCAATGCACTAATTCCATAGCTGCAAAAGTTCCTTCATCGGGTACTAAATCCATAGCTACCAGTATAGGTACTAAGTCTATAGCTACCAACGTTTATCTAACAGGTACTAAGTCCATAGCTACCAGGTACTAAATCCATAGCTACCAACACCTAACAAGCACTAAGTCCATAACTACCTATGTTTACCTAATAGGTACTAAGTCCATAGCTACCATCGTTTGTCCAATAGGCACTAAGTCCATAGCTGCCGGTGTTTATTTATTAGGCACTAAGTTTATAGCTGCCAATGTTTACTCACATCATCTTTTATCTTTCATCATTCATCTACCCATGTTATACCCAACATATTTGTAGATATAAAATACGTATACAGTTTAAACCAGTTAAAACATGTATAAAAACGTTCATCCAGCATAGATAGCAAGTATACAGATAATATGCACACATAGCACGTAATTTATATTAAATACTTCATATCTATGTGTAAGATGAAAGGGACTATGCACTCACCTGAAAGGTGGTGACTCGGAACTCGGACATCGCTTCGTTATCTCAAAACAATTTTCCCTTGACAAAACCTAGTATCAATACCACTAGGGTTTAGTCTAACGTTAACCGAGACTAATTAATAGTCTAGCTATTTTATTATTATATAAGCGTTAAAAAACACTATATAACTCATAATAATAGCCCAAATAATTATTATAAGGTCCTAATAACATTAATATATTAAAACATAAGCTATACTAAAGATAGGTTAAGCGTAGCGCACTTACAGTGAGTTTTTCTCAAAACCGGGCTTCGCTGGAGCAGCGTTTCTGAGCCGAAAGGCTCTTTTCTCGGGACTCCGGGAGCCTCGGTGCTTCCTTCGGGTGCTAGGGGGTTTACCTAGACTTTAGGGGGGGGGGGGTTTGGGGGCTAGAGAGAGAGTCTGGAGAGAGAAAGAATGGTTTGGAAAGGTGTGAAGAATTAGGGAACCCGACACCTCTATTTATAGGCTGGAAAACAGCTCTACTCGTCGAGTAGGTCCTCCTACTCGTCGAGTCCATGCCACATGTCACCTTCTGGTGGCTTCCCTTGGGGAGAAAGCCTTGGCCCATAGTCAGCCACGTCACCCCTTTTGCAGCAGCACCCTGCCGACTTCTAAACCCCGTAAATTTCGCATACGAGCTCCGTTTTCGATGTTGTTTTTTTTTCACACGTAGGTAAAAACAAGATCTACAACTTTCATTTAGACTTCATCGGCTAATTCTCGACCGATCTTAAATTTAACAGTAGGATGAGATTAGACTGTTTAATGACCACGAAGAATTCGTAACTCCTTCATACGGACTCCGTTTTCGTCTGTCTTTTTACCGTTGAGTTCCTATTAATGAGATATTCAACTCTAATTTAGGTTGCGTAAGCCAAAAACCGCTCGAACTAAAATTCGAGTTTCGGGCCGTGCACTGCTATGCCAAATCTTAGAAAATTCATAACTTCCTCATACGAAGTCAGATTTGGGCGTTCTTTTTATGGATGTTCTCGGTTTAACATATACTACAACTTTTGTTTAGATCAATAAGGCTAAAAAGTCCTCTATTGTAAATTCACTATTTATGTCTCCCGGTGCCGTGCCGGTTTTGCCGAAAAACTTCGACGGGCCATAACTTCTTCGTTATAACTCGGATTCCGGCGTTCTTTATATGTACGGAACCCTTGAGACATATTCTACAACTTGGTTAAGATTATTTATTCTAAATAATCTTTTGTCGAAAAGTCTTTTTCGACCCCTATTATCTCTAAATTGACTAGCCCGGATCTACGGGCGTTACATACGATGTTCTCAAAACCATCTTTAATCATCCAGGAATTGAAGAGTTTAAATGGGGGAGGACCAAAATTAGTAACGGAGGTGATTAGGGTAATGGGACAATTGTCTGATAGCTCACGTGGGTGAGCCGTTATTGTGGCGGAAGGGAAGACGGCTAGAAAATCCGGACAACCAAGGAATCTATCAAGTTTACTCAGTTTAGCTCCAACCCTCGTCACGTAGGTGAACTTTTCTCCACTCATCTTGAAGTCGTGTACGCCAGCTACACGAATGAAACGATTAAAGGCTCTAGCATTGTGAGGGCAGAATAACGAGTTGAAGCGTTCTTCTTTACGTCTGACAACGTTAAAATCGCCAAAGAATAGCCAATGGCCAGCATTATCAAGTTGGATAGTGAGCAGTTCATTCCAAAGTGATTGTCTATCCATTGACGATTGAGGGCCGTAGATATTAGCAAATACAGTTTTACCAGGAATACCTTTCCAATTACCAATCACGATTAAATAAGAACGGGATTTTAAAACATTAGTTTTATGGAAGAAATTGGTATCCCATATAGAGATCATGCCACCTGACCTGCCACTTGAATTAACGCCTTCATAATCGTAATTACCTGGACCCCAACACCCATTAATATTCATAGTGGAGAAGTTAGTTAACTGTGTTTCCTAAAGCCCCATGAAATTAACTTTGTGTTTTTCCTGTAATCTGCGAACCCATTTGATTTTAACATCTTCACCAATACATCTAACATTCAGGGATAGACAATTCATTTATCACAGTCAATATCACCAATTTCACCAATAACTTGAGCCAGGATCTTATTATTATCCTTAATTTGAAAACCCAGTTTCTTACCAATTTCCACAGTTTGAAGCAGTTCCAAATGCAAGCAGCCAACATCATCCACATCAATATCTGGAGTATCTGAGGAGGTCGAGTTGGTTGGAGGATTTTGATTAAGATCAAATGCAGGAGGAATAGAGACAGAGATCGTCGAAGAGGAGTGAGGGCACATAGATGGAGGGGGGATGGAAGATGCGTGGGGGGATCGAGTAGCAGAACGAAGTCTTTTACGTTTTTTATGTTTGGGTTCGGCTTCAATTGGAGTCTTGGATCCAGAAGAGACTACATTGTGTAATGGAATTGCATTATCTAGAGGCCCAAATGTGGAAATTGATTGGATCGGAGTGTGGGCTAAATTAGAATTAATAATTGGGGTCGGGTTAGAGCATACCGGGTATTTAGATGGGTCAACAACATCCGGATCTGGAATTAACGATGCAACTGTTGGCTCCGAAGCATTGGGAATACCAAACGATGCCTCGGTATGGGGCATGAGAGGGGTAGCCACTAATGATCTCGTGGCTTCCAAGGTGATCGACGGAGTGTTCGACGGAGAGTCCATCGATGTTTCAGCAACCGGAGATTCACCTGAATCATCGCCGCCAACACATGAATGTTCATTGTTGGGATGAATCTCTCCTTCTTCCAGATCATTATCATTAAAATTCATACATGTATCAGAGATACCATCTTCATCATCATTGTCGGTGACTTCATCCTCCGATTCATACTCCATATGATCGAGTGGGGGGGTTTTGAAGGCGGACCAATCGTTAGTGTATTCAACCACGCCAACAGTGAAGAGCTTCCCCTCTGCAAAAACAGAGATTTCTTCATTGATCCATTTGGTGTTGGAGGTAAGGACACCAACCTTGTCAATTGAGTAATCTCTCCGATCAGCGATACAATCACATGAACGCACAATTTTGCCAAATGTTCTAACAATAGTGGAGAAGTTGGATTCATCCCACAACTTCAATGGAAGACCAAGTATCTTCATCCATGCAATACGTTCATATTTGATGTCTAACTTATCACCGTGGGTCAGCCATTGAAACCATTCCTTCCAAGCAGGTTCATCCTCCAAGAATTTTGAGGCATTAGACGTTTGATCAAAGTGTAGGGCGACTCTAAGTCCACCAAGATATTTGGTTATAACACCTTTCTCAGTGAAGGTAAAAAGACAGTGAAGGTTCTCAAACTGGTGAACCTCGCCGATTAGGACATTCTTTTTTAACCATTCACGTATACAGGTGTTGGAATTGAGTATCATCGGAGGAGAAGGTGGTTTGTTGTGAGAGTTACTAACACCAGCTGCAACTTGAGCAAATGATCTACTATCTCCATTTCGATAACTTTGATGTATGGGAACATAACGTGGGGTAACGTTTTGTTGACGAGAAGGGATGGCATGGTGTTGCGACAATTTTCTTTTATGTTTCTCAATATTAACCAGCAAAAGGACACCTTTGAGCTTTATGATTTGAAGCTCATCTTCTAGGGCTTTCACATCTTTCACACCAGTGAATCTTACAAATGCAAAGTTCCGTTTGTAACGATCAGTCTTTCCACCCATATACACGTCGACAACGTTGCCAAACTTGGCGAATGCCTTTCTTAACTCCTCCTTTTTGGTGTCACCGGGAAATCCAGAGACGTAGTAATTTGTCCTGACGCAACCGGCATCAGCGTGAGGTGCCTGAGTTGGTGGTTTTTTTTGCCGGACCTCCGTCCACCCATCAGATTTCTGACGACCATTCATATTCCGCTTTTTTTGAGGGATTACCAATTTTTTTTTTTCAAAATCTAAGTTTTTACTTAAACTATAAATACTGTAATATTCATATAATGATAATAATTTTCGCTTAAACTATAATTGTAATATTTAAATGCTTCTTTCTATAAGTAATGTAATATTCATATAATTATAATAATTTTCAAATATTCATATAATTATAATAATTTTCAGTTAAACTATAATTGTAATATTTAAACTATAATTGTAATATTCATATAATGATAATAATTTTCACTTAAACTATAATTTTTTACTCGGAAGTTCCGATATTGCTACTAGATGGAATACTCTTGTCCTTCGGAAATTAAATGTTCTTTTATGGTGAATATCGAGAAACCGAATTCCGACTCGGTTGAATCTTAGAGATAGAGGTATTGATCTAGATTCGGTTATGTGTCCGGTTTGCTCGTCTACAGGAGAATCTACAGATCATATTTTCTTCTCGTGCTCGCATATTGCTCCTTTATGGAGCCGGATTGCTACTTGGTGGGAGGTCTCGATTCCGATAAATGCCTCTATCTCTTCGCTTATTACTTGGGCCGATCATTCTTCTTTTGATGCAGATAAAAAGAAGATCATTCTTCTTTTGATGCAGATAAAAAGAAGACTTTTGATGCAGTTATCATTTGTACGTTTTGGTCGATCTGGAATTACCATAATAAACTCATCTTTAGAACGGTAAAGCCTAGATTTGATGTTTTGTTTGATGATATTCGATCTACTTCGTTTTTTTGGATATGTAATAGGAGAAAGAAGTGCAAAATGTATTGGAACTGTTGGTTGTCAAATCCCAACTTATTACGACTTTTTTTTGTAATTTCTCTCTAGCTTCTTGGTAAGTTTTTTATTGCATTCCTGCCGTTCTTAAATTTTTTTCTTAAATAATGATAATCATTTTTACTTTAACTATAAGTACTTGCTTTTTTGTCTTACAAATGCGTAGATATCGATGAGCGATGACAAAAGCAAAACGTACGTCTTATATTATAACATATAAGATGACAATTTACAATTTAAAATAACATATTTTATTAAAATTTCATGGTTAACTGTGTTTAGTATGTAAACTAGTTTTGTATATTAAGAACTTATCAGCATCAAGTATATATAGTTTGGTAAACTGGTTTTCCTTTTCCGAAAACATAAATGCTTGTTGAATAAACTTTATGTATCTGTACAATTAATTGAGATGCTAAGAACCATATAGGGTTTACTAATAACTAATGGCTAATGAACTACTAATCATCCATCAATCAGAAACCACAATATTTCACATCTAGGAATGTATTGTTTTAAGAAAACAATCACTTTTTATGAAAATATTGGAAGAGATGATAATTTTTTCCTATATTTAAAAGGAAGATGGGAAGCCATTTGGTTGATTCCTGACGAGTGGAATCCAACTAGCCATGATGTATTTCTTCAAATTATACATGCTTTGAATCATCCACCATATGCAATTTTGTCATATATACATATACCTATATACTAGTATATAGCAGTGTATCTTAAAAAATACATATAGAAGTCCCCAGTTTACAAACTGATATAATGATAATTTTGAAGGATGATAATTAATTAGTTTATAAGTCTATATTAAAACTTCTAAATGTGTTTATTAAATATAAACATTGTATGGGGTCGAGTACGGGAAATCCTCATCCTTGAATCCCCACTCATGTCTCCATCGATGCCCTCATTCCCGCCGGGGAATGAAAAATTGTCATCATCCCAAAGGGGAACGGGCATCTCGTAGGAGAATCAAAGATTTCCCGGAACAAAGTTACAACTTTTATGTTGATAGAAATTCAAACTTTTATAATTACAAAACCATAAATTTATTAATTTTACAACCATCATAAATATACTAACGACGGGAGCTCAAGCTTAAGACTTTCTTTTTAGACCAACTTCAACGTGACATCCGAAACTACGTGAAGTATATGGTTGAAAAGATCCAGGAGTCTAGATTTCAATGCAATAAACAAAGAGTTCATGGATATTTCTAAAAGACGTTATGCTCATTTTTCTACATGTTGTCAAGTGGACAAGTTCATTTGAATTTGACCTGTTTTTGGTTGCACTAGGCTTTTGAAAATAGCTATGTATGTTTAACGGAAGTTTTTGAAGTTCATGCATTATTTATGGAGTATATTAATGAACCAAGGGTTTGGGAATTGTCGAATGCCTATAAATAGTTAAGGTTTGTTCAAAGTCGATATGTTGAATATGATCATTTTCTGTAAGAAATTTAAGTTATAGTACAATTTTGATTAGTATTATATATTATATAACTATCGTAGTCGGGGTTGGGATCGGGGATCTAGGGGTATCCCCATCCCTAGTTTTTAATTTGGGGAATCTCGTCCCCTTCCAATTCCCATCCATAGTCAACGCGGGTTCGAATATCAAGTATGAGGTGTTTGTAGGATCAAAGTTGTTGGACTCATGTGATTCGGATTTGGTGTTCATACTTATTTTTGGGAAGAAGTGTGGGGTGGGAATAATACTCTTGGTCATTCTTTTCCTAAATTGTATGAGATTGAGGTGTCTAAAGATTGCATGGTGGCAGATTGATGGGTTGAGTCTTATTGGGTGTGGGGTTGGCGTAGAGAAGTTAGAGGTGGAGTGGAGGCGTTTCAGCTGGCTGGTTTGGTTGATAGGCTGGATGAAGTGGTTGTAGGATCAGAGTTGGACTCATGGGAGTCAGATTTGGCCCCTGATGGTACATTCTCGGTTAGCAATACTAGACAAATGATAGATGACTTGACTTCGCATGCGACCACGGTTTCTACACGTTAGAATAAATACGTCCCGATAAAGACAAATGTTTTCATGTGGCATGTTCTTTTGAATGGTATTCCATCTAGAATCAATTTGAGTAATAGTGACATTGACATCCCGTCTTTGATTTGCCCTTCGTGTGACAATGCGTTGGAGGATAACAATCATGTTTTCCTTTTTTGTGATATTGTAGTTCAAGTATGGAGTGCGATTGCTAGATGGGTAGATTTGATGTTCCCTCCTCCGATCAATATTGTCGAGCTTATGTCCTGGGTTGACACGGTTCCATTATCGAGTAAGAAAAGAAACGTGTTGGAGGTTATCATTCTTTCCACTATATGGATGTTGTGGCAGTACATAAATAACCTAGTGTTCCAAACTTTGAATTTTCCTAAAAGTCTAATTATGGATTTTATTGTTCTCAATTCGTTTGAGTGGTTTTCTTTTAGAAATAAGAAAATTTCGATTGTGGTTACAAAACCCTTTGATGCACATCTAATTATATTTGTTTTTCTAGCTTTTTGCTAGTTGTTTATAAAATCTTTCAGTTGTTCAAAAAAATACAAGGTGTTTGTCATCTCTAGTTATTAAGTTATCGGAAGTGAGCCTCATCCCTTTCAAATTTTGTAATAGACAAATGTTCCCATGTGTGATATAAAATATAGTAATTGATTTTATAGTTAAAATATTGATAAATATACGTTAAAAAAAATTAATTCATTGTTATTAAGTATAAAATAATAAGTTTATATTATATTAAAAATTTGATATAAAATATTATCATTATCTTTGAATTATATTATAAAAATCAAAATTATTAGAAGGTTAGAAATTGAAAAGTTAAAGTAATCATAATAACTTAATTCAAATCATAAAATTAAATATAATATGGTTTAAAATAAATATATATTTCGAACCACATTATCTCGATAACATCTATATACACATGATAAAAATATATATAATTTTCGATATATCATTATTTTAAACTAATATTATACCTAATTATTTTAAAAACTATCACTTTGATAATTTTCAATTTGATCATGATGATTTTTTAAAAACAGTTGATTTAGATAATTTTTTATTTTATGTAATTTTAACTTAAGTTAATTTATAACATAATGATTTTAAATTAAAACCTACACTTTTGAATATTTTATTAATTATCTAAAAAATATCCTTTAGATATTTTTAGTTTATTTGAATTTGACATTATATTAAAATTTAATAAATTCAATATATTGTGTTAAATGTTGAGGAGTTAGCATTAAATTAAACTAAGAGTTTTATGCATTAACAATAAAACTCGAATTAATATACTTAAAAATAAATATTTATCTTAAATTATGTGTCAACAAAACATCTATTGTAAGGGTGTATGGATTATTGGTATGTTGGTAATTTTATTTTGGCGGTAGTGGCGGTACCGCCAGGAAGATGATTCATTGGCGCAGACAGGACCAGACGAATGAATATCATTCCTAGGTCAGTTATATTCGTAGAATAGTTTGAAATTTAAAAATGGATGTCATTTCTAAGTCATTTGTATTACTCTATTCTCTCTACATTTCAATTTAAAATTTAAAAATGCATATCATTTTTAGGTCAATTGTATTCCTAGAATGGTCTGAAATCCAAGAAATGACGAGGACATAACATACATTGACACTTTCACAAATAGGCAGGCCACTTAATATAGATCGTCATAGTTTTGGCGATAAGTTCTGGATCATCTGAATCAACAACTTAGGGGTTCGGATCGTTCAACACATCAAATTGCTTCCACATGAAAATATATGCAACAAAAAATGAAAGAGCTTAATGTTGTTTTCACGCACAAGATCCTACGAAAAGTTTTAAATACAACCAAAAAATGAGTATCACGAACACCATAACACGAAAGATTTTCATTACGAGGCGGCGTAGAATATTTTAAAAAATCACTCCTTTTTTTAAAAAAAAAAATTAAGTATTTTTTTAGTTTTACGTTTTTTTTGTAGTATGATTTTTCAGTTATTTCGTTTGTCGTTTTAAGATTCAATTACTGTTATTGTAGTGTGGTTTTTTAATTAAATCTTAAAAGAATATTTTTTTTAATGTCATGTTTTATTTTATTTTACATTTTCTAATTTAATTATATAAAAAAGAGTGATGTGACAAGTGTGTTTTGGAAAATA